CCAAGTCACCGGTTTAAAATCCCGAATCAAGGAACGGTTGACTCTGTAATACAGTCCGCGAACTAGAAATCCGGATAAGGAATTCTGTTAACCCGGGAGAAGGTGTTAGGCATTCCCGAGTTCCGTGGTTCTAGCACGGTCGCTCAACTGTTATGTTCGGCTTAATTATCTGATTTAGAACAATTTGAACCTATGTGCAATTTTAACATTAACCGTTTTTGTTCCTTTTTAGAGAAAATTGCAACGTTATTAAAACACGTCTTGAACCACGTCACATAAATGCACCCATGGTCTTTGACACATTTTAACATCGTTGAGATTTGGATTTGAGTCATATAAATGTGTACCCGAGTTTAGGGAGATAAATTATCAAAATACGCGCATAAAGCAACTAACGTGTTATTAACTTTGCGAGGGCCCTGAAAATTCGCTAAATGGCACGCCTCGAATTTTAAGTATTTTTAAAAGAAGTAATTATATGAGGGCCATGCATTTGTCATTTTTATTTGGCGCGGCGCATCTCGATTCTAATTAAAAGAACGTGACTAGTTCATCAAAGAACGTAAGGGGATTCCTACTTATGGTATGCCAAAGCTTAAGCTAGTAATTTAATAAAACAATGAACTGATAACAGACTACCCATATTTGATTGTGGAAGGGCCGAGCTAGTCAAAAACCCACGTCTGATTGCCCATTACTGCAGGCTCAGCGTGTGAAATAACTGGACTCAACTTGAAGCCTAGTTTGGCAGCCTGATTGCGGAAGGGGAAGACAATCGCAATTGAGCCAATGATGGCAGCCCAATAAACCATGAAGAGTCTAAACTTGTAATTTGAACCACATCCATGAAACATACATCCAAACCATCCAACCTTAACTAATTAAATTAGGGATCATAATCTTCAATTAACACAGATTATACGAGGTTTAAAGCATTCCTGAATCACCTATATTCAAACAAAGTTCACCCGACATTTGAATCAAATATACATCCAGGAATGAAATATCCAAAATAAACTAGACTAAAAGCATGAACAATAAAATGGCAGAATCGAGCAGTAATTACAACAGGAACTAGTGTTTTTATTTAAACTCCAGCCCGATTCACATATCTTTACACAAAACTTAATCAAACTTCATTTCCAACATAGTTTCAAGAGAATACCTGGAATTCGAAAACAACACCGAAAATGAGGAATCAGCAGCAGAACACTAGCAAGCACAGTGATCAGCAGCAGAGACACCCAAGAAAAACTAGTTTTAAGCCAAGAAATGAGGTGCAACAATCAACAAAACTCGACCAAAACTTTAAACCAAGCTTTTAAACCATCAAACTCAAATCATTTCAACCCAGATAGATCAGAAACTGTTTTAGGAATTAGAAACTTAAGAAATCACAGAAAGAGTTCAATGAAACAGTAAAATCAACTGTTGGTATTTTCTGTATTTTAGGCTCTTCCCCTGTTCTCTATCTCCGTAATTTCTATCTTTCTATCTCTATACTCTATTGTTCTCCCTCTCTCCCAGAATGTTCTCCTTTTGAACTCAGTGTGTTGTTTTCTTAAATAGGCAATGGGAAATGCCCTTAGGATTCATAGAATGCCCTTTCAACATTTAAAAATTCAATTCCACTCAATTCTTATGGCTTTAAATTATTCAGTAGTGAATTGTTATCCCTACCATTATAGAAGCTTCTCAATGAGGTGACTACCCCTTTTTATTAAACAACTCTCAAGTTATCCTTACAACCCTGAAACTAACCCTGGAATCAAAGCCAAAATAGGTCAAGTTGACCCAATTCAGAACCCATAAATCTGTAATCCCCATTGAGCACCATCCAGAAACCCATTTCAAACAAAACAAGAAACTTTTATAAAGAAACAAGGGCGAAGGAAAAGATGATGACGAACTAAATAATAGAGACTAATGAATTAAACATGCTATTGAATTAATCATGTAATACTGACGGACTAATAGGTGAGTCTATAATGAAGAGAAGAAATGCGGATACAACAAAGACTAAAATGAAATTAAAAATGACAAACAAAATCATGCAATACCAGTTTAATGAAATAAAATACCTAGCAAAAAATGGCCAGCTTTAAATTTCTTCTTCAAACTCTCGATTTCGACCGAAATAGATCTCAATCACGTGTTCTTAGATGAAAATACACGACTGAGGTCCGTTTTGGTCTTAATCATCACCAAATCTACCGATTCTGGAGTTTTGACATTTTTAGGTCTTATCTTCGATCCAAAATTTGACGAGATCAGAGAATATTCGAGGGAAAAGAGTCATGGATTTGGAAAGAGGGGCTCGGGGTGGTTCTATGGTGTAAAGATGAGGGTGATTGGATAGGCTAAGGTTCAGGGGTCCGAACTTCAATCAAATATTCAACAAGTTCTGAGACGATTCTAAAGGGAAACGAGTCATGGATTTGAAAAAAGGGCTCGGGGTGGTTCTGGGGTGTAAATTTGGGAGTGATTGAGCCACCGGAACCGCCGTGAGGCAATTTTCGGTGGGCGGAGGGCGGTGGTGTGAGGCGGTGGAAGACATGCGTGTCTCTAGGGTATGTGAGAAACAATGAGGGGGTAAGGGGTCTGATGGGTTTTGACATATTAAAATATTGATTCAATCAGGGTTGTTGGATGATTGGAATCCAACGGTTCTGATTGAATCAATAATTAAAACGGGGTCGTTTCAGTTTCATAGGGCCAGACCGGTTCAGGGGCGGGTAACGGGCGAAGCTCTGGACCATTTGATCATCAAAGATCAACGACCAGGGTTAGCCGTTACAAAACGACGCCGTTTTGGGTCTAGGCTGAGACAGACCGGTTAGGGGTTTGTATTGGGTTGGGTTAATTGGATTTGGAGTGGGTTTGGACTGATTTTCTTTGGGCTTAGAATGTTTTTGGCCAGATTGGCCCAAACTTGATTTCCCTCCTTTATTTAATTCAATTTCTTTCCTTCCCCTTTTTTTTCTTCAAAAAATTAAAACTAAAACCCTAATTAAATTATAAAAACCCAAATTAGCTTTAAAAATATTAATTAACTCTAAATAATAATTATCATAAATAATTAATACTAAATTAAAAGAAAATCACACAATTGACTAAAAATAAAAAATATGTTATTTTTTTGTGAATTTTCATTTTTGTAAAACACCTAATTATTAATTAATTCCAAAAAATGTAAAATTCAAATCTTAAATGCAAACGCTATATTTTTTGTATTTTTAATGCATTAATAAAATTAAACATGCACACAAACATATGCAAACAATCAGGAAAATCGCACAATAATTCCTAAAAATAATACATAATTAAAGAAAATACCTAATTTTGGAATTCTTTTGGAGTAATTCGTATGAGGCAAAAATCACGTGCTCACAAAGAAGATGAGCAAATGATCATAATAAAGGAGGCAAGTGATCTAGAAGATCACATGACATAACACTTCATAAAATCTCATGAGAGGTTCAGGTACCTGAATATATGAATGAAGAAATCTCTATGTTATGTCTTTATGAAAAAAAAAAATATTACAACCGATATAAAATATTCGTCGACGACATCTATCATAGCGCTAAGTATAGATGATGACCTTAAGCCTGTCGAATACAGACACAAAAAAATTAGCCAAATAGAAGAGACACAATTCAAATAGAATTGGTTTCATATGAAAGACAAGTATTTGGACCTGCAGTTCAAACACTTGAAAGTATAAAGTCAATGATATGTGCAATCAGTTTTCGATATCTTATTTGTCTAGCATGACATGAAAACTTTGATATGCATCTAATTAAAGTCTATTACATGACTTAACTTATATGACAATCCTTGAAGGATCTAAATCGCTTAAAGCATATACAATTCTTGGTCTTGAAGTACCATATCCTAAGTGTTATTTGCGCATATATGTATTTTGCTATAAGTATAAGCATGACAATGTGATAGAGAGGATTTTTAAGGTGCAACATATTCATTGGAGTTAATATGACTATTTTTATTCATCAAATCTCTGCCGATGTCAATCTTCAAGAAGCTAGCGCACAAGATTGGAATGCGAAGGCTCAAGGATGTGAATTGATACTCTCATCAGGGGGAGTTAATACACGTTGTATTCTTTTTTCCTTGCAAGATTTTGTCCCACTGGGTGTTCCTTGCAAGGTTTTTAACGAGGCAACCAAAAAGCGTATTGTTAGATATGTATACTCTTTTTCCTTTACTAGAATTTTTTCCCACCAGGTTTTATTTTAGTTAAGGTTTTAACGAGGCACATTATCTGTTGAATAAACATTCAGACGGAGTGTTATAAATAGAACTTTATTTATGGTGAATGTCTATATTTAGAGAGATTCCATGGTTTATTACTTGGTGGCTAAGTCACATTCTCCCTATAAAAAGAGAGTTCCATTCCATTATAATTCATTCCAAAATTCAATAAGAATACCCTCTCTCTATTTCTCTGCAATATTGTTCTTCTATTTTTATTGTTTCATATAACAAAACTCTTAATATTAGTTCTATCAAAAGTTAAAATATTAACGGATGTGATTACAAGTTTGTCTATAACAAAACTCTTAATATTAGTTCTATCAAAAGTTAAAATATTAACGGATGTGATTACAAGTTTGTCTATAACAAAACTCTTAATATTATTTCTATCAAAAGTTAAAATATTAACGGATGTGATTACAAGTTTGTCTAATTTAAGATGTACTAATGAAAGGTTTGAAATAATGATATACAAAAGTAAAATCTTAACTGATTTATAGTATTGAGTAAATAAAAAAATGACCGTCGCCTGAGAGATTCGAACTCTCGCGGGGAAACCCCATGTACTTAGCAGGCACACGCCTTAACCACTCGGCCAAAGCGACATCTTACACTTTCGGGTCATTTTGCTTTTATTACATCAATGATCACAATGAAAGGGACCAACCACCACCACCGGGTCCCACTCTCTACTTCTTCCTCCTCCGTTCCCCCACCTTACTTACGAAACAAACAAAAAACACACCACTTTTCTCTTTCCCATTCCCAAAATAGTGTCCACCCCACTAATATTCTTTGTTTTCCCCACTCACACCAAATGTCCACCACTACAACCGCAACTCCACCACATCACCACCATACTTTCTGGTGTCACGAGTGCGACATGAGCGTTTTCCTCCTCCACCTACCCCCTACCGATCCTCCTCGTTGTCCTCACTGCCACTCCGATTTCCTCGAGCAAATGGACTCTTTTACCCCTGCCCTTCTTCCTCAATTCCCAAATCACCCTGATTCTAACCCTAACCTTGAAGAACTCATATCTACGGACCTCAACACCGCAACCACTTTCACTCCCTCCGACGATAACTTCCTACTCGACAGTCCTTATCTCCACCGTCTAATCCACCATCTCACCACCGCTAACGACGCTCCCATTCCCAATCGTCAGCACAGCCCGGCTTCTAAAGCTGCCGTGGAGGCACTTGAGGGAATAAAAGTTAGCTCATTGATGCTTGAGAATGATCCGGTTATTCCTTGTCCTGTCTGCAAGGACAACTTTTTACTGGATGTGGAAGTGAAAATGTTGCCTTGCAAACACATGTATCATTCGGATTGTATTTTGCCGTGGTTAGAAGTGAACAATTCGTGTCCAGTTTGTAGGTTTAAGTTACCCACTGAGGAGGAGGATGATGAGGAATGCATTAGACGACGCGAGAGGTTTCTTGGGGCAATGAGGCTGGGAGAGATATTGGCTGAGGAAGAGGATTTGTTTGGTTTTAGGCGTACCCTTAGGCGTGTTGCCAGGAGGCATCAGCTGGACGGGGGAGAGAGTACGATTGGCCAGGCAGGTCAAGGAGTTGGGGTTGTGGCTAGGGCAAATAGCGTGGAGACTGTGTCGAGTTGGCCGAGTTGGCCAGTGGAAAATGGGAGTGATGGTGATGAAGTAGGTGGGAGCGGTAATAGACTTGGTGGTGGTGAAGGGGATACTACTGTCGTCAGGTCTTGAAACTGGCCTTTTTTTCATTTAAGCAGTGTTCAGGTATGCCTTGATTGTTGTTTTTCTGCAGGCTTATTGCTTTATGTTTTTTGGCTTTACTGTGCAATGTTGACTGTTCCTTCTTCTGATAATAAACTTGATATGTTGATTTCTCTTTGTTGTCTTATTGGTTATGGTTACTATATCTTGCAATCAACCTACTGTAAACTACTTTTAGATAAAGTACTAGCATTTGTTGCTTCTGAATACGAGCATCTTTTGGTCCCATTTGGAAGTGTATATAAATAATTAAGACATGATGTTTCAATTGTGCATCAACTGTGCATCTAGGTTTTATTTTAAATCTTGCATTCAATAACACAACATTTCTATCCATTGATACTGTGGACCTTTAAATAATGGAAGCTGCAAAATATTGGCGTATGGGCGATAGTGAATGATGGGGTGCCTTTGTAGATCGGTAAAAGTTGTCGCCATATGACCGGGACGTCACAAGTTCAAGCCGTAGAAACAGCCTCTTGCAAAAATGCAAGGTAAGGCTGCGTATGTAAGATCCAATGTTGTCCGACCCTTCTCTCTGAACCCGCGCATAGCAGGAGGTTAGTGTACATGGCTGCTTTTCTTATGATGGGCTATAGTGAATCATTTGAAGCTAATCTACCAAAGTAAGCAGCTTAGTATTTATAACCATGAAACAAGAGAAAGTGGTTCAGTACCCCTTTTTTTGTTCTTATAAATATGTTTGTAGTACCCTTTTATCCAATTAGGGGGATAGAAATAGAATATGTTTTGGACTGGGTGGCTTGCATTCAAAATTTTCCTAGATAACATGCTTTCGATAATGTAAATACGCGCGCAATTGGGACTTGGGAGTCAGTGGCGTACGCAGGATTTTTCGAAATTGGTGTCACATTTAAAGAAGCGAATGAATAAACAAATCACTATAACAATGGCATATGTTCTACAAAAGAAAAAAGAACAGTCAACTTTTTGAAGATATGCTCTTATTGCAACATTGTTATTTAATTTATATTTTTCAATTATTAATTTCTTCTCCGGATCAGATTTTAAGAAACTAATCAACTCCTTCACTTACAATGGGAACAACAGCAAGCTCAATCCCCAAAAATAGCAAATCACAGTGGAAGATAATAGTTTCCAGAGTTACTTTGAATTTGCTAACATAACTTCGTTGTAGTGGTTTTTATATATATATATAGTAAATAAATTGTTACTCAGCATTCATGGTGTATTGGTTTAATGTTGCCTTTTTTACTCGAGAGGTCCCTTGTACAAGCCCCAGTCACGACATATATTTTATAGCAGTCTCAAAAAACTATTAAACACACAAAATGCTAATAGCGAGGATCGAACACACGCCAACAAGCCGAAGATTGAGGCGCCCAACCACCAAACCAGGAACCACTTCTTTGCAAGCGGTGTCGTATTAATTTTTTTTAGAACTATCATGTTTTCTTGCATTTTATTTGTACATATATTTAGTAAAATTTTCCAACGAACACTGCTTCAACCAAGGTGCGTCCAGCCCTATTGGGAGTTACAATAGCTTATGGGTTGTAGGTTCATAAGCTGTTATTTGGCAAGTTGTGAAAGTATGCAATTCTCGTTCTGCGAAGTATGTAGAGCTCTTACTCGGATAGGAGCTTGTGTTTTGAAATACTAAAACATACTACTCCAAGCTTAAGTACAATAATAAGTGTTGAAAGTCAAGATAACTTATGTTGTTAATGTTAGAATATATCTAGGTTAGTGGTATGCTATATTATTAACGGAATAATGGTTGTGTCATAAATAGGATTCTCGGTAATTAGGGAAGTTTCACTAGTCTAAACTTCTTTACTCTTATAGTCTAAATTTTCTGTATTTTTGTACAGTTAAGATCCTATATAAGGAGCCTTCTTATATGTCGTTCTCAATTAATTTCAATAAGAGCTTTCTCTTCTTTTTTGTCAATTTGGTATCTATGTCTATTATATGTGCAAAGACCTAAGTAGCTTCCATGTGCCACTGCTTGCTAAGCCACTCATGTCTCTCTCAGTTGCCCTTTCTGGCAGCAATGTATTTTCCGACAATAATTGGGCTTTTCTTTCAACTCCTTTTCAAGCAATGCATTCTTCAAAACTCTTTGTTGATTTTTCTTTTTCGTGGTATGAGATTTTGGGTACTGACCCCCTACTATTATCATTGATTTTTCAGTATCTGTTCCGGAAATGTCTTATTCTATTGTCTTTCTTTATGGGTATTAGAGCCTTGATATTAAGACTCTCTTACAGACATTGAATTTCCATTCACTGTTTTGACAAAATTTTCAGTTACTCTTCAGCCACCAAGTTACGCTGAGAGTTGTATCATTATACTTCTTTTGATGACTAAGAATAGATTCCTTTCTTTGTGTGCTGCGAGAAGTACTTTCTTTGTTGTGCAATTGCTAATGACATCGTTTTGACGTACTATTCCTATGATTGTTCCCTCACTAGTAACTCTTGCTGCGATACGCACCTTGAATTTCCAGTTCTGCTTTGCAAACTCAAGATGTTTTCATTACCTTGAGTTTGATGAGGCGTAATGAAAGTCAAGAGAATTAATGTTGTTATATGCTACTCCCTCTGTCCCTATTTATGTGAAGGGGATAGGAGTACCAGGGTCAACACGCTTAATTTTCGGTGTGGATTCGAGCTAGTTTCTTCAAGTTTTTTATAGTAAAATTTTCATATTTGAACTGTCACGACCCAAAAATCCCTCCGAAGGAGTCGTGATGGCACCTAGTCTCTAAACTAGGTAAGCCTAACATTAACTGAAATAACATTGATATTTATTAACTTCAAATGAAATTTCTCTAAACAATTTACGATTTCTAAAACCGGTAGTACAAGTCACAAGCCTTTCTAAAAGTAGTTATACAAAATAAATACATCACTGTTCCGAAAGAAAGGGAACAAATGGAAATAAGTACAATTGAAGGTGACTCTGAGGACTGCGAACGCTGCAACAGGTTTACCTTGAGTCTTCACTGCAACGAGTAGCTACTATCGATCAAATACCTAGATTTGTACACAAAAATGTACAGAAGTGTAGTATCAGCACAACCGACCCCATGTGCTGGTAAGTGCCTAGCCTAACCTCGGCGAAGTAGTGACGAGGCTAGGACCAGACTACCAAATAAACATGTGCAATATAGCGTACAAAATAATAGGAAGCAGATAACAATGGTGGCAACAATGATCAACTAGTGATATAAATAGCAGACAACAAGAATACCGTAGATGCTTCTCAACAAATAATAAATATAAGTGCAATCAATTAATCGAGACGTTCAAATATAAATCTTTCGCCTATAAATCCTTCAAGTAATAATCTCTAAGATAATATGCTTTTCAATAAATATATTTCGAATATATTTCCTTCAAATAAGTATCTTCCAAGTAAGCATCTTCCGAATGTAATTCTTTCAAGTAAAGGTCACATTGTGACACCTCATTTCACTTAACATAAAGTAGAGTTTTTTTTAGAAATCATTTGATAAAGAAAATACCCTTTTAAATTAAAGTACAATATCGAATGAATTATTACCTTTAATACGATAAATCAATAAATCAAAACATATAAGAAATTCCTTTTTAAGTAAAGTACAACCTCAAACGGTTTAAGGAAAATTTAGCTGAGAAATCAATTGAGTTAAAAATGTAACAATTGTTGAAATTTGAAGTATTGAATATATATAAACCAAATAGGGCGAGGTATTGTCAACACTATGGATTCCCACACAAAGGATCACAGCCGTAATGGAATCTAAACCACGAGTAAGTAAGGAATGCAATAACCGAAACATAGGCTAAAACAATCACTAGGATAATAACCGGGGATCTCT